GTTTGATCTAATTTCAGACTGAACATGTTGGTAGAATTCTTGTTTCTTCATCACTAGCTTTTGCTTTTGAAGCAAAATTTTGAGTTATAGTTTGTTGACAGGATTTCCTTGAAGGGGGTATAGATATAATCCTGACAGACAGAATTGTACTTTAAGTTTGATTTTTAAATGTCCTTTTGGAAAATGAATGTCAAGTCATTCCTCTTGTTATTTACATCATAGTAAATCATATCATTTTCTGATTCAAAATACTAGTCTTAGTTCACTAATGCCTAGAATGTCGATCTTTATGGATTCCATTTCATTTTTTAAAATTTACATACCCTCTTCATTTCAAAAAAATTTTTTGTTGTTTTTTCCTATTTCATTTTTGACAACTTCCAATTTTCCTAGATTCATACTTCACACATTCCAAGTTCCAAACATCACCAGATTTTTTTTGCTTATTAAACTTTTTTAATATATTGTGAAATATTTATTTATAATGACAAATATATGAAATTTTATCTTGAAGCATGGTGTAGCGCAGGTAACAGTCTTCACATTGGGTACTCGTGTGTGGGCGTATCTGCATGCCAGCGGACCCCGCCTGGAGATGGAGAGAGGAGCGGTGTCTCGGTTCCTAAGAACATCGGAAATAGGTGTCTTAGGTAACCCCCGTGAAAGGTTGTTCAACCCCCAACGGGATCGTGACCCACAGGTTTAGAGCCACTGGTGTATACTAAAATAAATTGTTAGTGCCCTGGACTGTGTACTGACACTATTTGCAACAAACTCAACACAGTGTGACTCTACACATTCCTCGTGAGCACTGATGTCTTTGAGTCCACTGTGTCAACCACTGGATTAATCCATCTCTTACTTGGATCTTCCTCCTTTACACTGACCAAGGACGATGCCTTCCTCTCCTGGGGAGTGGTGCTGCCTAAAAACATGTTCAGTTTGTAAGATGAAATCTCAACATCCTTACTTTTTTTCATTGTTTTATTAGGGCCTCATACAACTCTTATCACAATCCATCCATACATCAATTGTGTAAAACACATTTATACATTCATTGCCCTCATCATTCTCAAAACATCCACTCTGCACCTAAGCCCCTGGAATTAGCTCATTTTTCCCCTCCCTCCCCACTCCTTCCTCCCTCACGAACCCTTGATACTTCACAAATTAGCCATATTTTGCACTGTCCAATGTCTCCCTTCACCCACTTTTCTGTTGTCCATCCCCCAGGGAGGAGGTTATATGTAGATACTTGTAATCGGTTCCCCGTTTCCAACCCACCCTCCCAGTATCGCCACTCACACCACTGGTCCTGAAGGGATCATCCACTCTGGATTCCCTGTTTCCAGTTCCTATCTGTACCCTTGTAATCCTATGGTCTAGCCAGATTTGTAAGGTAGAATTGGGATCATGATGGGGGGAGGGGAAGCATTTAGGAACTAGAGGAAAGTTGTATGTTTCATCGTTGCTACATCGCACCCTGACTGGCTCGTCTGCTCCCTGAGACCCTTCTGTAAGGGGATCTCCAGTGGCTTACAAATGGGCTTTGGGTCTCCATTCCACACTGCCCCCCTCATTCACAATGATTTTTTGCTCTGATGATGCCTGATACTGATCCCTTCGACACCTCATGATCGCACGGGCTGGTGTGCTTCTTCCATGTGGGCTTTGTTGCTTTTGAGCTAGATGGCCACTTGATTACCTTCAAGCCTTTAAGACCCCAGAATATCTTTTGATAGCCGGGCACCATCAGCTTTCTTCACCTTATTTAAAAATTTTTTTTAAATTGGGGGTTCTTACAGCTCTTATAACAACCCATACATCAATTGTATCAGTCACATTTTTACACGTTGCCATCATCATTTCCAAAACATTTTCTTTCTACTTGAGCTCTTGGTATCAGCTCTTTTATTTCCCCACTCCTTCCCCCACCCTTCCAACCTCATGAACCCTTGATCAGATATAAATTATTTTAATTTTCATATTTTACACTTGTTTGCTGTCTCCCTTCACCACATTTCTTTTGTTCGTCCCCCGAGTTGAGGGTGGTGGTGGTGGTTTGTATGTCGATCATTGTGATCGGTTCCCCCTTTCTCTCTCTTCTCCCCCAACCTTCCTCCTACCCTCATGGTATTGCTACTCTCATTATTGGTCCTGAGGGGTTTGTCTGTCCTGGACTCTGTGTGTGGAGAGCTCTTATCTGTTCCAGTGCACATACATTAGCAGATGTTTGCAGCTGTGTCTTCTTACCTCGAGTTGTGTCCCATCAGCAAATGAAGATCCAGAAGGCTCCACTCCCACAGGCTTTCCTCCGCTCACATTACTGTACTCACCTCCGTTCCAAGGAAGCACATCTTCCTCAGTTCCATTTCCAGTGCCCTTGGACCCAGGCGATGGCAAAACCCAGCAAAGAAGTAGGGAATGCTTTGGGAAGGGACGCTGGTGTAGTGTGAACTACTTCTGGCCAGTCTTTGTAACTCCCACCGAATGACTGGGTTGGACTATGTAATTATTAAGTGCTTGTGGCATACCAAGGGGGGGTTGGATAGCTTTCTAGTATTGTAAATAAACTGCCTGGTGACCTTGTGGGGGTTGGGCTATGCAAATAAGGTGTATGGAAAGCTAATTCGCAGATTGGTCCATTTTAACATCTCACTGGGTTTTAAATGAGCTGTCTCAGAATTGAGGAGGATCTCACAACCATCAGGAAACATAAACCAAGAGTGGAGCATATCCTTTGGACCTAGGGTCCCTAAGTTGGGAATTTCCTTGATGCAGGGGTCAGAGCTGTGTGTTACTGTGGACCAGGAGGGATGCCGAGAAGCAGTAGCAGCACTAGAATTAAGAGCAGGGGACAGAGTGGAGAACTTCCTGGCTCACAAAACCAGAATGCTGGGTGCCTTTCAGCAGAAGGCTTGCTGATAGACTGGGGTGCCTCTGGGTACTGGGTAGATTTGCTGACCAGCAGAGCTAGAGTGGAGTACCTTTGGGCCAAGCCTTATTCTAACTACCTAATCAGCAGAGCTAAAAGAGTTCTGTAACACTTGCCAGAGAGGGTAGGGACCAGATAAGAGGCCAAGGGCTTGAGAGAGACCTGCTTAGGGGTACTGGTGAGGAAAGGCTGTCTTGAGTTGTTTCTAATCCTGAATTGTAACCTGTTACTTCCCTAATACGCCCCTTAACAGTGAACACTGTGAGTTTTGGAAGTAGAGATAAACAGAGAGAACTATGGGGAGGATGTTTGGTGACAGGATTAGTAAAAAAGTTGAGGGAGGTAGCATATGTGACCTCTGACTCACCAGAATCAGGTGTGAGTAGGTGATGTTGCTCTAACCTCTGTCTTATAGGAAACAGCCTTGGGCAACTAATGTTGATGATCTTAATTTTTCCTGCCCTACTGTGAAATTAGAGGTCAGATACCAGTGTCATGCTATTTTTAAAGCTGGTAAAGATTGACGAGTAGTGGTATGTCTAACTCCATCAGCTTTGTATAAATGGTGGTTCTCATCATCCTCCCCCTACCCCACCCCCTCTTGTGAAATCAGAAAAGGCACTGATGCTATTACTACTATTACTACTACTCCCTCCACCTTTTTTACAAAAGTGAAATTCAGTGGAATCAATTGTCATTTATGTTACAAAGACGCTCTGAACTCAGTGCCTTCTGTCTAATTTCAAATCAAGGTCAAAAACAGTGAAACCCACATGCCATTGAGTTTGATGTGACTCCTAATAATCCTACCAAAAAAAAAGAGAATAGAACTGCTCCATACAACTTCTGAGGCTGTACAGATTTATACAAGCAACCTGCCCATCTTTCGCCCATTGATGGCTAGTGGGTTCAAACTGCCTTCCTTGCAATTAGTAGCCCCGCTCTTAACCCACCGCACCACCATGGCTCCTAAGAACAGTGGACGAAGCTCAAAATACAAACATAAGTCACATGAGGCAGTCCTCTTTTAATATCTTATTCCAAATTCTGATTTCTAATATAAACATGAATAGTGCTATTGACTAGAAACAAAGAAATGTGAAAGCTACATTTTCTAATATTTAAGAATGAAAGGAAGATATTGAGTCACTTAATTATAGAATCTGCAGCAGTGGCCAAGAACATAACTTGGAACAATATCAAACCTTTATATCATCATTGGTACACATTAAAAACAGAAGGAAAAGTAGAAATTAAAAAAAAAACTTTTTATATAAAATGATGCATTATCATTGAAAAGATCACATACACAACTCTGGGTACAAAAACATTGTAATGCAAATGAGGCATAGTTTATACAACTGTACAAGGAATTAAAATTGTGTATAACAATATATGTGAGGCATAGCTAAAAGGTTAAACAAAAACAAAGCTAAAAGGCTAACTCAATTCTGGCACATGGGATCCCTTTTACTTCATCATAAAGCTGTGCTCTCGGATTCTGGACGCCCAGGTTTCGGGAGGTGGACTGTGAGAACTCCGAGTGCATTAGGATCACTATCATTTTGGTTAGTAGTTTGGATTATAGAATACAAAGTTAACGCTCTGAAATATAAATCCCCACCTATGTTACAATTTAAAAAAACAACAGGTGCTTAGCCATTTGCCATACTCAGGGACATAGTGGGATGTTTATTATCTGAAACATTTATATAAAAATATAACCAGAAATCAACTCATAAAAGATTCATATTAAGGATGTGACACAAAAGCTATTATCATATGTATAAAAATAAAATATTTTGTTGCTACTCTAAGTTTTCATATAGGGAATCAATATACCTGAAAGTTTCCCCATACTTTACATTCTTTTCCCCCATCATTTGTTTCCCTGTGTGTATAATAAGGCTTTCTGGATTAATGAAGGCTTTCCAACACATCTTGTATTCTTAAAATGTCTCTGTACTGTGTGTTCTCAAATGTCTTTTAAAAGAACTGAGGTATTTGTAGATTTTCCCACACTCTTTACATTCATAGGGCTCCTTGCCAGAGTGTATCCTCATATGTAATTGTAGGGAGTTTTGACAAGAGAATGCTTTCTCACATTGCTTACATTGATAGGGCTTGTCTACAAGGTGTGTACTCAGGTGTTGTTGAAGGCTGGTAGACATACTGCAGACTTTCCCACATTGCTTGCATTCATGGGGTTCTTCATCAGTGTGCACTTTCATATGTAACCTTAGGGAGGTTTGCCAAGGGTAGGCCTTTCCACATTGCTGACATTGATATGGTTTTTGTAGCGCATGCGTACTCATGTGTTGCCGAAGGCTGGAAGACATACTGTAGACTTTCCCACATTCCTTACATTCATAGGGTTTCTCCCCACTGTGCATGTTGACATGCTGTCGAAAGTATTTGGGACATCTGAAAGCTTTGCCACAGTGCTTACATTCATAAGGTTTCTGTTCTCTGTGTGTTCTCTCATGTCCATGGAGAGAGGAATAACAAGTGAAAGCTTTTCCACACTGCTTACACTTATAGGGTTTCTCGCCAGTGTGTGTTCTCTCGTGCTCTTGACGGGACGAGTAAAAGGTGAAGGCTCTCCGACAGTACTTACATTCATAGGGCTTCTCTCCAGTGTGCATTCTCACATGTTCTCGGAAGTATGTGGGGCAACTGAAGGCTTTCCCACATTCCTTACATGCATAGGGTTTCTCACCAGTGTGTCTTCTTAAATGTAGTTTCAGGGAGGAGGAATGCATAAAGGTTTTCCCACATAGGTCACATACAAGGATTTTCTGTCCTCTGTGACTGCTCATATTTTCCCTGGAGATGAAAGGCAAGGAAATGCTTATTATACCCATATACGCCAATCTCAGTGCATGGGTATGTTTTCAGCACTACCTGTATCATTTCAAAGTAGAATCCCTGAACACGTGGGTGTGAACAGAAATAAATCCTTTACTCTTTCTCACTATGAAGTTTCCTGACCACTATTTCCAACTTAATTATGTTTCAGACCCTCAATATCTGTATCACATTTATGAAAATATTGTCTTGTGAAGAGTCTGTTTAAGTACACAACTGTTTACATTTACATATATTTTGTAATTCTGAAACATCTTAAAACTCTTCTAGAGCACTCCCCTTCCTATGTGAGTGCCACTCACCTTGAATGCTTTTCCTGTAGGTTATGAAGTTTCTCTTTTTCTTCCAAATAGGACCAGGAATCATTTCTTAGTACATTTATATTTTTCTCTCCATTGAAAACTTCTTTTCCAAAAATACTTTGTTGAGGACTTGATCCACTGGTCTTACCTTGGAAATAACTATCTGCAAAAATTGATAAAACAGTTTAATTTCATGGGGATAAAAATGGTGGTTAAAGGAAAGAAAATTGGCCAAGTGTAGATTTTTTTTTCCATATGGTGATCCAGAAAGTACATAAATATAAGGAATCATGGGCATGTGAGCAAAGGAAGACTGTAACAAAGAATTCAACTTGGTCATTTGTTTCTGATTTCTGAAAATAACCCGAGTAACTGACAAGTCTTGTTTTTCAATATCACTAGGCAAGTACAACAGTAGGCCTTATCCAGGTCCCACACCTAGCTAACTACCTTCAGTATGGTTGAGGGACATGATTCAATCAACCTTACATATTCATTTAGGTCTCAATGGAGGTTCCTCTTTGGGCTTTCCTGGATGGGTGAGAACATTCACACCCAGGAGAAGATATAGAATGTCCCTGGAGACAATGGAAGCCTTATGCCAAGAATTCTTCCAGATCTTGTATGATACATCTCTTCAATTGGCTCCTTTTTGGTTATAATGAATGGGTAACTGTAGAAATAATAATAAACCCAAACCCCAACTCACTGCCATTAAGTTGATTCTGACTCAGAAATCCTACAGAACAAAGTAGAAGTAGCCACTTTAGGTTTCCCAGGCCATACATCTTTACAAGAACAGAACACCTCACACTCCTAAGGAATGGCTAATGGGTTTGAACTGCTGAGGTTGTGGTTAACAACTCAATGGGAAACCCACTACACCACAGGGCTCCTTAGAAGAGGTAAGTCTCTGTGAATTTTCTGAGCTGCTACAGAGATTTAGCAAATCCATAGGAGCAATGACTCAGCAGGGACGGGAAGGACAGTGAATTTGTGTGGACCCCTGTCTGGGTGGCTGGTGGTGAGCGAAAGGTTGCCTGGGCAGGTGATAGACAGAATCTTTCTAGCTCCTGCCCTACCCCGTTTCCCCAAAAGTAAGACATCCCCCCAAAATAAGACCTACTTACAGTTTTGCCTCTCGCTGAAATATAAGGCATCCCCCAGAAAATAAGACCTCCCCGAAAATAAGGCCCCCCAAAGCTACTGTAACTCTGAACCGTAGCGGTGGGCGCTGCTGTGCAGCTCACTGTTGGCCACAGCGCAGCTGGAGCAGGCAGGAAGTGCGAGGTCTCTTTTAATAAAACAATAAACAATAAATGTGTACCATTTTCTTCTTCATGGGAAAATAAGACATTCCCTGAAAGTAAGACCTAGCACATCTTTGGGAACAAAAATTAATATAAGACACTGTCTTATTTTCAGGGAAATGGGGTAGTTCCCAAGGACTACAGAAAGAAAATCGAGACGCAGCTGGTAAGAGTTATATAGACCCCTAAGCCTAAAGCTGGCCTCTAATAACTTGGCACTTCATTGTCTAGGATGTTTTGGCCCAGTTAGGGTGGCTGGAAATGGACCCTGATTCAACTCTGGTTTGTCAGGTCCGAGAGCAAAGGCCATGAACGTGACTGGCAATGAGGAATGGAGATGTGGGAAGAAGAGACAGTCCAGCCGGGAACTGGATAATAAATAGTGCTCAAAGTGCGGTTGGACTACTCCCCCCACTTTACAGCGCAGTCGTTGAAATACTCTCAGGACTTTAGAAATCAGAGAACATGGGTCAAAATGATGGCCTAGCTAATACACAAGTTAGCATGAAGCTAACCAGATTCATGGAAACCCCATGTTTGTCAGAGTAAAACTCTGCTCCACAAGGTCTTTACTGATTTTTTTTTTTGAGCGGATCACCAGGTCATTCTTCTGGTGCCTCTGGATGGACGTAAATGCAGTCAAATACATCAACTGTGCTACCTTGGATCTCCATTTACTAAAGAACAGTTCTAAAACAACAGAGACTGATATTGACATAACACTATTAGAAAAGCAAAGTAGGGGGGAACTGAGCAAAATACATATGCCTAAATGCTACGTTTAAAGGAGGAAATATAGAAAATATTTTGCTGAGAAGGTAATATGGAAACTAAAATCATAGAATCCTTAGAAGAGAATATAGAGGCATAACTGTTGGAACTCACCTTTAATAGCAGATTATCTGATATAATAGCAAAAGTCAAAATATATAAATGATATATCATAAAAATTGAACATTTTGTTCGTCAAAGGACTTTGCCAAAAATAGTATTAAAGACAATCTATTAATTGGGAGAGTATCTTTGGGAACCATATATGTGATCAAAGTCCAATATTTTATATAGGTATATATGCACATATATATATATAGCTGAACAATAAAAAGACAAATAACTCAATAAAAGAATCAGCAAAAGACTTGAATAGACATTTCAACAAAGAGGGTATTCAAGAGGCCAACATACACCTAAAAAGTAGTTCAAGATCTTTAGTCATCAGAGAAATGCAGATCAAAGACACAGTGAGATGACCACTTCACTCCCACTAGTTTGGCCGTGATTAACATTATAAAACAAAACCATAAAGTAACAAGGGTTTATTAGAATGTTGAAAATCGGGACGCTTATCTATCCCTGTGGGAATTCAAAAGGGTATAGACAGCTGTTATAGAAAGCATTATAGTGATTCCTCAAAAAAACAAAAAATAGAACTACCATTTGATGCAGCCATTCCATGACTAGGTTTATACCACAGAGATTTAAAAAGTAGCAATGCAAACAGATATATGCATGGCAATATTCATGACAGCACTACCCACAACAGTCAAACGGTGGAAACTTAATGTCTCTCCAAGGAAAAAATAGAGACAAAATATAATCAATCCATACAATAGAATGTCAGCCATAATGAGAAATACAGTGTTGATACATTGAGAATATTATGAGTAAAATTAGCCAATCACAAAAGAACAAATATTATATGATCTCACCTATACAAAAATGACAAGAATAAGCCAACATGTATCTCTCTCTGGGCTCCATAAACTCTGCCCAGCCTTATAAACATAGGAAACCTTGAGATGTTCAACTAAGAGAAATTAAAAGTCAGTTTAATATGTAAATAGTAGTATTTTTATGAATACATAGGTCTTTGACCTCAAGGTCTAAGACCTAATGCTGCGAACCTTTAATATAGTTCCTCATGTTGTGGTGACCCCCCCAACCATAAAATTATTTTCATTGCTACTTCATCACTATCATTTTGCTACTGTTATGAATTGGGCGAACCCTGTGAAAGGGTTGTTCGACCCCCAAAGGGGTTATGACCCACAGGTTGAGAACCGCTGGTCTAAGAGTGCATCATTTACTACCATATTCTCACCCCTCAGCCCAAATTAAAAAAAATAGTATGTGGAAGACACACAAAAGACTAGGTGAAAGAATCATGAAATCCTTACCTACTGAGGCTAAGTTCTGCAAAGTTTCTAGCATCACATCCTTATAGAGCTTTCTCTGGTCAAGGTTCAGAAATGCCCACTCTTCCCGTGTGAAATTAATAGCCACATCCTCAAAGACCACCAAGTCCTAAAAGATCACACATATTATTATAGAAACAGGCACTACATCCCCCCTTCCCATGTGAAATTAATAGCCACATCCTCAAAGACCACCAACTCCTAAAAGATCACACATATTATTATAGAAACAGGCACTACATCCCCCATGCATGCATCCCTGCTGCCAGCCTGGTGAACGGGACTCCTCCACAGGATCCTGAGCCGCAGGAACTCAGCACCCTCGTGCGAAATGATCGTCACTAGGAGAATAAAATAGAACGTACTCGAGGATGTTAAGTGCTTTGAAAACAAAGAGCGAGGCACTAGTGATGGATACAGATGTATGCTCAAATCATGAAGAGTCATTCTTTTTAGTGACATTAGGTGAATTCTGTGGCAGGTTAAAAGTTGACAAAGGAAATCATCACTCAGAAAATAATAGAAATAGACACTTTGCTTAGCTATGACTTTCTTATCAGATACAAGGAACTTGAACCAGAATGTCTGGGTGTTACAAACACGCAGGGCTAACCACCAAGGTGCTTGGCCTGATTCCCTCAGACTCAGCGTAGGCAGAGACGGTCCACCCCCAGGGTGATGGGACACTGCGCAACGAACGTAGCCAAGGCCTTGGAACCAGACAATACTTGGCAAAAAAGGAGGAACACATAACTCCCCCAAAATGTGCTCGGTCAGCAGAGCAGCTCAAAGCAATCGCTGAGTGCCAGCATTTAGAAAAGCAGTATCAATAAAGAGCCTGAAGGGCCTGACTGGAAGGGAGCCCTAGATGATTTCAACAGAAATGGAAATAAATATTCCTAATCAATAACAATTCTTGGGTGGGGATATATAGAAGTATATTTTGTTATCTGTCACAGTTTTAAAAAACTACAAATCTATTAAAGTTTTATTAATAGCAGAGAGACATTTTGCAGAAGGAACACACAGCTGAGGAGCCCAGCAGTGTGACCCCAAAGATTTGGCATTATAAATGCCAATGAAGCTAAAGCCCACCTGAGCTATCTCGAAAGGTATGGCTTAATGATCAACTCTACTGATAATAAAAACACTGTTGTCCCAGCAAGCTGTCTAAGAAAAATAGTCTTTCTTACTGTTTTCAAAAGGAAGCAATTTCTGTCCTCGGTAAACCAAATACATGGTCTATGACATCTTTGTGTGGCACTGGTTTTAGCTATTAAAAATTATTCTGGTCCCTCACCGATAAGGAGTTTGAGGGGAAAAAATCAGCTAGTTTAAATTGCCTGTGTGCAAACTATGTAATTCAGTGCTTCACAAGTGCTTTGCCTTAAAATGAGACAAAGGCTTCCATATAATAAAACAACCATTTATTTTTAGCCAGTTTAATTTAACCACAGGTCCTGGTTCAACATGCTTTTAGAAATTATGAAACTATTAAAACAAATTATTGCAAGTGTTACCACAAACTATTGTTTAACTCACAGCAAATCGTATATATCTCAATAAAGAAACTATAGGACTCTTCGCTTAGATTCTATCAGAACTATCAAAATACATTTTGAAATGTGATATGATTAATTTAACCAATGATGTTTTTTAAACTCTCAGCTATCCATCATGTTCAAAATAGGGGGGGGGGAGTTTACATACTTCCCCTCTACCCTCCCTCCCTCCTCAATATCCTATCTCTCCCCCGTTTCCGACCCCCCCATCCCTGGCCTCCTAGTAGGCAAGTCTTTTGGCGTCTAACACATATTTTCTTTTCTTTGTTTTTCCTCATAACCGTGGTGCTATTGAATATTTATCATTGTAATGTTGACCAAATTTGCGAAGCAGAATGTTCCCTAGCTTTTGTTAATGTCTCGTGCTGTTTAGAGAGTTGAGTTTTACCGATGCATAATATTCCAAAGCATGAATGTACCAGAGCTTGTTGATCCATTCCTCTATATTGGCGTTTTGGTCGGGGCACTAAACATAGGTGTGCTAACCAAAAAGAAGCTAAAAACCAATGGCAGGGGTTGGGGGTGGGTGTTGGGCACTTAAGGTATTTCCTGGTTGAATAACATTTTCAAAATTGTACATGGCAGGATTTTGGTTAACGATCTTTTAAATCTTCGCAAAACGAGACTTCAGGTGACAAGATATGGTTGATAAAAATGTCTTGGACAAAGTATTTTTCAAAGTTGAAAATCACAGGTATTCTTCAAGGATGCGTATGCATGTGAGTGCGCACACCCCCCCACATTGACGGTGAGAAAGATATTTAAATTAGGGGGTTCTACGAAATATAGCCCAACCACCACCATCACATTGCTCCTCATGACTACGCTCCTATGTACAGGAACTTATCTCAAACATTACACATTTCTAACCACCAAATTGACCTGAAGTAAGCCGCGCACAACCATGTTCTGTTAAGAACTGTTTATATCTTAAGCGAAGTTTCCATCAGAAGGCGTGGGAAGAGACAAACGGCGCTTTTCACAAGGTAGAATCACTGATGTCAAAAATCCAAATACACGGTGGCTTCACGGAGTTCACAGAAAGAATGAGAGACTGTTTCCCATGATCTTCTTAAAGCTCTCGGACAGGACTTCAGTTAGGAGTCTTTAGTCACGTCAAAGAATTAGTTTTACAAATTCCTCTCAGAATTTGATAATCACACCATACTTAAAACTAGCAGCCTCACATTTCGGGGACTTGTTTTTCAGATCCACGTTACTGAGTACTACTGTGATTAACCACAAAGGAGTCATCTCGCCGACCACAGTAGGAATTCTAGACGATACCGTGCTTTACGGGTGTTACCACACCAGACAACTGCCGCCCAACAACAGTGTGGGTGTCTCTGGACAAACGGCTGGGCATTCTCACACCAGGCTACTGTAGAAAGACTTTGTAACAAAAATTTTGTTTTCATGGGACCATAAATAGAATAAAGTCTAAGAGGAAGGGATACTTACTGAGCATAAATCTTCCGATTCAAGTATACAAAATTCTTTAGTATTTACTTAAGTTCACCCCTTTCAGGTGGCTCTATAGTAGCATGATTACTTTGACTTAAGATTTTTACAGTACTAGACCAACGCTGAACTTTAATTGTGAGTATGAATATTTAACATTACTCCTAATTATCCATATGCTACCTATCTAAATGTAAATATGAAAATATCCATACATAGTGTTCACCATTTGGATTGTGGTTTGATTGATTAGGGTAATGTTCTGCATAAAAATATATATCTGGGACACATATTACAATATTTCCAGTTATGTAAATAACTATCTTAAAGATACATACTATGCTTAGGAGATATAATAAGTATTTCAATAATAATTTATTCTACAAACATATAAAACTTTATAAAACTATTTAAAATGTAATAAGTACATCATTGAAAAACTAATTTTTAATTGTTATGAAAAGTGAGGGGTTTAGGTTCACAAGGGAGAAAACGGAAACGACTCTCACTGAGTCAATTCTGACTCATAGTAACCCTACAGGGCAGAGCAGAACTGCCCCTGGGGGTCTCTGGGGCTAGAAATCTTAACAGGAACCCAGGGCTTTGAGAACAGCTGGTAGGTTCAAACTGCTGACCTGCAGTTAGCAGCCCAGCACAAATCTCACTACACCACCAGGCTCCTTATAAAACAGTAAAGCAGGAGATGTACCAAAATTGCATAATAAGGAAAAAATAAAAAAGCAAAAATTATTAATATTTTTCATAATATTCATTGGTTGCATAGAGTAATACTTGGCAAGCATTCAAGTGGCAAAACATTAAAGCAAAGCCTTGAAATGAGAGCTAACATGGTAAAAATTAAAGGGTGCTCTAATCATGCAATAAGCTAATAAAGGAGGAAATGATTATACGTTCAAAACATTGATCAAACACGGTGACTTGCAAAGCTAAAAGAATCCTCTAATTCTATGAGTTAATCTTGTTAAAAGGAGATAAATATTAAGCACGGTGTTTGCCTTAAAATTCCCGTATCAGATGGGCTGTAGTAACAAAAATAAGAACATGCAGTTTAGGAAGGTCAGTGATTTCTATAAGGGAAGTATACAGGCCTGGCCCAGCAAACTTGGACATGCAGACAGTCTGCTCAGACGGTCCCTTCTCAGCCTTCGCTTCAGCGGTGGTTTCTCCCGCGCGGCTGATTGTCCTTGCACAGGATGGCGCTTGAATTTTAGTTTCAGTCCTTTGGTGGGCTGGCAAGTCCAAATAGGTTTCTCCTTTTTAAACAAAGACAAATGAATCCAAGTTCAATGCATTTAAATTTAGCAGCATAAGTATTAGTAAGAAGTATTACATAAAATTATTTTCATTTTAACACTAAGGATCTTTTGGTGAATGTCTTTTCCATTATGAGGGTCCTCTGAAAAGTTTGTTGTTTAAAAGATTATCACCTTCCTGGCCCACCAAGCCTTGAGGACAATATTCCCGCTCAGAGCAGCCAGTCCACAGAGACCATAAGGCTGGCCCCACTAT